ATGTCATCAAAACTGGCCGGCGTACTATGTTAAGTCAAGCTTAAGATCGATGCCCATCTCATCAAGCGGTATACAGTGTTTCGGTGGTCCTCGGGACACCAGCTTGCATATTTCGTTTTGTGCGTCCCACACTTCGAAATTACACCAGATTTATATACAGGGATTTTGTGAAGTGCATTCAAGTCCTCTATGAATTTTATTGGAATAAAACCTGCAATGTACCCTCCAACAGAACTCAATTTGTTACCTGGGACAGCGTGACGCAGTGTGACACCCCCCGTGGCACGCTGCGATCGAGAGCGGTCGCTACTCTAAGTCACCGCCACCCCCATCGCATGTGATGTGTACGTCCTCGCGCACGATGTCATTTTATTCTCCTAGATCGTGCAATTCTACACCAAATGCCACGTTTTATTGGGTGAAGCTGAATGCAAATAGGCTAGCTACGTGGTCTTCATAAATTCAGCATTTATTCTCTCGCAGACTCAAAACCTCAGTTGATGGCCGTTCAGCCCCAAGTTTTTTTTAGCACGTTGTCTAATAGAGTAAAAATAAAATATCAGGTGATTGCTTATATTCATCACCTTGGTCAAGAGGAAAAGCGAGTGTCTCAAGGAACACGGGTATCCCAAGGACCACCGAAACATTGTATGTATCTCGACTATTCGTAACTACAGTCCACTGCTTACATGTTTGCCTTTCCTAAATGGCATATGAGCTGCGAACTTGACTGTTATATTGATATTGCATCAGCATCTCTGTAGTGGCGTTGGCGTACAACAACACTTGCATCGTGCAAGTCGGTAGAGCCTGAGATGAGGGGTCATCTCACCTCATTTGTCTCTCTGTTGATCTGGTGCACGATAGTCGTGTGGTATAAAGGCTGACATATATATACTCAATCATGCTATTTGTCTGTCCCGGGCCTCATTGACAATTCTCCCAGAGGCCTCAGAGACAACCCTCAGACATGTCGGACATTCAAGACCCTTATGCTATGCAAGTTGTGGATGAATACAAGTCTGTGTGAGTCCATTCAAGTTAGAGTATCAATGATACCGACTCATGTGCGAACAGGCTGCTTTCCAACTATAGTATAGTCATCGCCGCAAGTGACTGTCTTGCCAAATTTCACCTCGAGACGCAAATACTCACACTATCTTAGCTTTGGTTATCTATGACTTTAGTTTAACTCTTTCGCGAGAAATTCAGTGCATATGGAAGCGCTCATTCTGCTCGTCCGCAACAATGATATTCCTCCTTAGTCGATATCTGACTGTAGCATATGCAATTCTTGTAATTGCAGTCTTTCCCGTAGGGGATAGTCTACCCCGACTTGCTGAACAAGAAGTGAGTTCTCTTCATGACCTCTGTTACCAGTTGGATGCCAGTGCCAGTTACCTTATTCATATTTGTTTCTAGATGTGAGGTGCATTTTTATCTATGATCAATCTTATACGACAATCATTAGCTGCACTTACGTCATGAATGCTATGCGAGCTCTGTTCATCATGTTATATTTGCTAGTCACTGGTGCGTGGAATTTGCTCTTGGTGTGGTCAAAGAGTTGAACCCAGCAGCATTTACAACCTTACGTGTATATGCTATCTGGAGCAAAGATCCCCGCGTACTCGTTGTTACTTTGCTTCTAGGGTCCATTGCTCCAGTAATCTACATCGTGCGTCTGCTTTTTACAAAAAAGATATTCAAACTCTAAAAAGCTGTTCAGTATTGCTACGCCACTGAGCAGTATGTCCTTGCACCTCCGCCGTTCAGCAGCTGTGAGGTCCACGATGACGTGAGCACGGTGGCATACAACATGTAAGTGCTATTCATCGATCTCAGTAATGCAAACTGCACCTACTACTGAATTATCATTGATGTTCATTCTTCCCAGTCGTGAGCTGATTGATGTTTGAAGAATACTCTGTTAGGCTTATGTGCGAGATACAGCAAACATTGTTGGCTCTGTCGTCTTCATCTGTTCGGAGGGGGCTGTCCTCGCGCTCACGTGGGTCAAAACACTACAAATTCGAAGATTCCTCTCTACCAAGCAATCAGGAAGTCGAATTTCGTTATTGATTCAACGAGACGGTGAGTGCTTCTAAATGACACTCACAGTCAAGCTCTAGACTGAGACTATCACAGGCAGCCTTCAGTTCTCGTGAGAGTTTTCTATTTCTGAATGACCTAGTGGTTGTATTCACGAGCTACCCGCAGGACGATACTCATGCTTATCCTAATACACGTAGTCGCATACAAATATAAGGTATAACATTATGCATACCTCACTTTGTCGTCTCACGACTATAAATCGCAGGAAGTGAAACTTATAGAAATCATTCTCGAAGCGTAAGTCAAGTTTTATCGGTGCTCAACGCCTTTCTCATATTTTTGTCCTCCAGGCTAATCATGGTGCTGGTGGCGCGATTCATCTTGGATCTGCGTCAGGTCTATGTCATTGAACGGGAAGACTCCAGATCCACACACCACAAAAGTCCACTCAGATTCACGGTATGGACGTCCGAATGCAGCTCCCCTTCGGAATTTCCCCGGACCCGCCATGTTGATATCATAGTCGGAAATTTGGGGGCATCTGTCAACCCTATTTTCAATGACTGTGACAAAGATGAAGTAGAAGGTGCTCCTTTATTTTCTACTGATCCCCTCCTGAGTAGCCTTCTCGAAGACTCAAGAGAGCCTTTCGAATCAATTCCGTGCAGCGGCCTCGATGCACCCCAGTAGACGCCCTCTTCAATCAGACCATAGAGCCGAGATGGTCTCCTAGATAGCGTGTTTGTACCATGATAGTTGTACTTTCCCCCTTAAAATTTGAGCTTACTGCCGTCTGACTATTTCATCTCAATAATGCGATGGGCCGCATCATAATTGCGTTTGAAAAGATATTGCTACTTGGCTTTCCAAGGGCAAGAATAAATTCCCGACTGGTTGGAGAAGGGGACACTAGTTCAATGTAAGAACATCATGATAGAGGAGGACTGAGACAATTACGTTAATTGTCGTTACGAAGTGCTTAGAGGAGGACTATGCGAATTTTAAGATCATTGGCCATCAGCCATAGAAATAACGTGGGCTCTTGCATCTTAGACCCACGAAGAGCACGGCTACTGTAGGACCTGAACAAAAAATAGGGAATGCGCCGTATCTGCCGTCATGGCTCCATAGCTCATGGTTCAATCATCGGTCATAAGGACGGCATGGTCCAAGCATGGTGCTAGCACAGTTGTCCATGGAAAGCAACGACCTCCCGCGTGAAATGCCGCAGGAGGTCAAAGCAGCCAGTTCCCTGCATATATATAATCAGTTGCTGCAATGCTGTGGTTGAGTGTCTCCCTCCCTTGTGCCGTTAATCCATCTCCGAGTTAGGCCGATATCAGTGCCTCGGTAGTAAGACAACGTGGCAATATGGAGATGTGGTACAGCGGTGCTCTACCACATTCCCATATTAACACGCTGCTTCATATGACAAGGCACTGACTTTCAACATCAAATGCGCATCAAGTGAATATAAAGTCGATCAACGATTCTTCTCGGTGGGAGCGTGACTCATTTGCAGCCATTGATCATTCACGGCATGACTGATGTATTCAATTGCTCTACGAGCGGGTTTATGCAATTTAGTTCGTTTTCTAACATGTAATGGATCCGACCCTCCACCTTTCCCCAGTTCGCTGACCGCACAGCCAGGGAAGAGGGTAGATTCAATAGAATAGAAATGATCCAACGTACCAATGTAAATTCTGCTCCGCTCAATACAGAGTTGGTGAGGTGACCGCGACTCAGCTGAGTCTCGCTGCTGGCGTCGGCCATTGCCGGCGTTGCTCGCGCCTGATACTGGCAGGTTGATGGTGGCATCTTCTGCTGCGTTATACATGTTCGTGAGTCACAAACGACGTCCGGTATGGTCTTCTCGTTGACTCTAATTTAATCCTTCGATTAATGATAGCAGTACGTTATTTCAACGAGTATGGTGGAACGATTGGCCCTTGGGGCAGTGAGGGCCTCCTTTGATGCCGAAAAGTCTGAACACTGCGATAACTGCGATATTCCGATATACTCCATAAATCCCTAGGGAAGACTATGGGATACATGAGTCTGATATCGCGAATGACGGGACGTAGTGCACACACTTTCCATGAAATAAACTTTGCTCAAGCTCATGTCATTCGGACCCATGGCATTTATATTCTCATTCACCTTCGGTGGCATATACTCACTCGTTGTTGTATGCTCCCTAGGCCGGGATTGTTTTGGATTGAATTCCCGAACGGGATTGGCACTTCTACAAGGGAGTGGTGTCGAAACTAGGAGATTTCTTTCTCCATGATCAAAAGAGGTTGGCAATAAATCTCTTCTACTTCTCTCTTTTTGTCCGATACCGATGCATCTTCAGTAGGATGTGGAAATGCTGGGGCCTTCACACCAGCCACGTATGTTGAACGCCGGAGATATCGCGTCGTGGACCTGGAAGTGCGTGGCTTTTGTTAAGCCACACTCTATGTTCGATTTTCCAACCGCAATCTCATTCTGCGCTTCAACTACGGCCATCGTCTACACATTCTTTGTAACAACGCCTCATATCTTCTGCCAACATGGAGACTTCAAACGATGTGGACTTCATGACATTTATGCTTCCATTTGATCAGGAATTTGATTTGGACTTGTCCATGGCCCCCCCGTACGTGCACTTACCCAGACCCATTATTATTAACCCGCTAACGTCGCTGCCCAAAACAGTATGGATCCATTCTCTATCCCGCTAGATCCTATCTTTCTGGGTGACAACGCTGTACCCCACGAGCCAACATTAGCCTCAGGCCATCGCGATGATGCTCTTACACTCTCGTCATTCAGTCCTTCGCATCAAGGAATAAACTCGCGATGCCATCTACTCCAGGCCGATGTCGCAGTGCCATCTCTCCCAATCCTTTGGGACGGCCTGACCCCTGCATCATCCATGGTGCATCCATCTTTTGCGTCCCCACTTCCCTTCGCAAAATCACCTGTTCCTCAGAGCGCGCCGACTGCCTCCCAGGAGGAGATAATCCCTATCTTAGGCAAGAGGAGAAGACGCGTCTCCGAAACTTATCCAGATATTAGCCATGTTTCGAAGCGCAAACTTCCTATCACGCGGGAATCAAAAGTCGTCCCAGACGATGCGGAGACTATCCGCTGTCTTTATGGGGGATGTGGCCGGACTGTCACCGCAACCGAGATTGGACGGCATGTGTGCAACGAGCACGTCCCGCCCCCACGTCCATCTCACGTACGGTGCGGTTGGGAGGGGTGTCCGGACCCGGCACGACTAAGAAGACTAGATGGGCTCCGAAAGCATATCGAAGCCCACGCACAGCTGCGCGTGAAATGCCCGCTATGCAACAAAAAATTCAGCAGAACTGATTCGTGCAAGAGGCATGTCGATCTGGAGCATAAAGAGGATGTTGCGGAAGCAGACCATTCAGACCATAGGCGTAAGCGTCAGCGGAGGGCTTGAAAGTAATCTTTGTCTTAATGTCGTCTTTAGTTAACTCGTATACCCTATTTCATTTCCCTTCTCCCTGAAAGCCAAGAAATGTTCGTAATTTGTTATGAGCTTGTGAACCTTTCAATTATCTGTTGCGTCACCGCGGTGGGAAGCTTGAATGAAACGGATTGAAAGTATAACGATCTATCGTCGTTGATGGGATACGATGCTACATGCCAGTATTATCACAGATGTCATCCACACTTTACTCCCTACAGTGACACGTACAAGCTCTCTGTCAACTTACAAGACAACGACGATGCGCAACTAGCGACATCCCGATCGGCGTGGCTTTGTGCTCCGTTGTCCTCTCCACATACTTCGCACGGGACTCTAAGAAACTGCCACACTCATGCAGACGCATACTTCTCCGTCCACTCCCGGCTGACACGCTGCGCATCCTTCTCGTTTTCCTTGTAATGCTTTGCAACATCGGTGGCAAGCGGATCATCGGGATTCGGAGAGCTGAGTAGCGCCTGAATAGAAAGCAGGACGGTACGGATTTGAAGTGCCGGAGACCATTTGTCTGTAGACAGTGCAAAATTGTAGCAGATTAGCAAGGGCTCCCCACAACGATAGAACCCACCTTTCAAGATATCTAAACAGATTCGCCCAAGCTTATCTTCACAGACTATCAGCATATACCAAAACATTAAGTTAAGGGGTTGGCGCACCGATGTTGGGGTGGTAGATCTTTGTCAGGAAGCGCACCTTGGGAGGGCTCATTGGGTATTCCTCCGGGAGGAATAATTCTAGCCGAAACACACCATCTGCACAACAATGTCGCTCAGAATTCACATTCACCAGCCTCACGACCTATGGGGCCCGGACAAACGTACTCGCAAAGGGACTGCCATCTGGCCCTTGGATAGAAACGTCGAAGTATCGGAGATTGTCTTCGTGTGGCGCAGCAGATATTCCGGGTGCTGGATCAGCGACAAGTCTCTCGGTTTCCTGCGTGTTCAGGACATGCAGAAGTGATGAACGAGAGCCCAATTAAGCTAATCGCTACGCGGGTCGTGTGGCAAGCGCACCTTGATGATCCGCTACAATCCGGACGATAGTCAATATAGGGTGAATATATGCAAGTTATGAACACGGAATCACCTTCGGGAGAGACATAGTAGATGGGTGGAAAAGGGGGAGAAGCAGAGGAAGAAAGGGACGTGCAAGTGAGAGTGAGAGCTTCAGCGATCGCGTTCAGATACAAGCTTCGATAAGCGCGGATCTATTGCACCTTAGATGCGTCTGTAACCATACTGTAGTCCGCAAACGCTACGCACAAATTACACATTGTTTACAACGCCTCAAGATTAGAGCGCCGGAGTCAGCGACGGAAAAAGTGTACATTGAACGTGGTGTGGATCCTAGATACTCGGAACTCGGAATACAAGCTAATCTAGTACTAGAATGTGAAGCTGAGTACGATTCGTGTCATTACTAAGTCTCAACCCGTCTGAAAATGTCTGGGCGAATGCTGCGGCAAGAAACAAGCATAGCTTCGACTGCGATATCGTGCATATTATGCTTCACTGTTACTCTGTGTAAGCGCCACCTATTATATGTGCTGTCGAAGAGAACTTACCAGGTATAGTCCACGTCTAGATGTACGGTGTCCTCGTGTTTAATACTGTTTTCAGCCAATCCTCCAGAGGGAGAATCTGTCAAATCGCAAGGCAGCTCTTCGTGTTCTTGTTGATCTTCGTCATCGGCGAAAAAACTCGTGAGGGGCGCTTCGAGGTTCCCCACTACTGCACTTGAGAAGCAGAGAGACTCCGGTGTATCTTCGCTTACTGTCGAGGCAAGGGCCTCGTCAGTGTCGACATGATTGCGTCTCGCAGTGTCCGCGCCGCGCAAGTCCAGGAGGAATCTGGAAATCAAAATCGGGCTTACACTTGAAGTAAACAATCGTAAGTAGATCCATCAACTTGTACAATGATGAACTACTGACGCGAGTTCAAGGACAGTAACATCCCCGATTGCCTTGGCATTGCAATTAGTCATGTTTTTGAAGATCATTGCGAACAAATCGCACCTGATATGTTGTTGCTACGAGATTAAAGATGGTCATAATGAGCAGGATCCTACGACAGCATCATTAGCGTGCTTGCTTTACACCCAAGACGAGATACCGACACAAAATATATGGAACCTGCAAATTGCTCAATTCTTCATATGATTGATTCACGATGTGATTGCATTTACTAACCATCTCTGGCGCACAAATTTGACAGGCTCTTCCCACTTTGACCCATAGAAGAGATATGTTTACGGATTGCGTACGTCTTGATCCAGGTGAGGATGAGAACTATACTCAGCGATACAATTGTAGACACAAAGTTGACCATAGAAACTGTAGCCTGTCAATTATGGTATCAGTATACATAACACTTCCACTCACGTCTAGAAGAACATAAGGTCAACTATGACGGCAAATTGGGTTGATGTGACACTCACATGAGATACAAATGGTTGCTTATACCTACAACATTGAGGCAGCCGATAAGTGGTGGAGGTGCAGGGGTATACTGAGTAATAGCAAATATATACTGCTCATATTGGATGAAATAACTTATGCTCTTGTTAAAGTCAAGACATACGATATTAATTACCAATGGAACCGATTGCAATGGCAGAGTAGCAACAAGTATTATGTTGTTCCGGTTCCAAAGTGCATATACCCGGAGGGTAGAAAATGCTTGTCACGCTCAGGCTATTTGAAGTACAAAAAATAATGGGAAAGCGACATGGTGGTACTCACCAATAGTTACTATGGAAAGGATGGCTGAGAATGCCTGGGCAGCATGACCAGTAGCCACGCAGCTGGAAGATTGTGACTATCATAAACTGGCAACAGGATTGGGGCCAACATACATCTACAAACGGGTATATTCAGCACATACATATTCAATCGGGTAGTTGTAGTTTACAATGTAAGGAGAAGGACATACTTGACTCGCTTTGCCTGGAAGCAAGATTTGCCATGGTGATGTGAATAACACATTCAAGAATAGGCTACCAATGGAGAGGTAGCGGTTGACTGCAAAGATAATTGATGCTCCTGAAAGGCGAGATTTCCATACATATCGAAGCTCTTGTGCGAGGCTGAGGCAGTAATCATAAAGAAGGAGTGCTGGATGCTCGCTGAGTTACTGTTCACGGCTGAAGGAGTCACACTCAACACACTCACTTATAGCAGCAACTGTACAGTATCGAGTCAACAAACTGAAATTTATTCTTGTCAGGAATCGCAATGACTGTAGCTAGCAATTGACTTACAGAGACTTGAAATCGGCAACGTATATAGCATAGATCTCAGCTTCGAGACTGGTCTGTGACATGCTTGGATAACGAGAAACTCTTGGTAGAGTCAGTGAAAGACAGAGGAGCTAAAGAGAGTATAGACAATTTATACCACCCACTGCAGTCAACCAACCCAGAATGATAATACTTTAGCGAGTTGAGGTGGATGCATCCGTCACCACAACACAATCATGCTTCTCTCATTGCACTGGTCTCGGTGAACTCTACCCTTAAAGTTGCACTCACCGAAGAAAACGTTAACCAAGTTCATAGTAGGTAATCTACATAACTGTTGCAGACCTTGCCACAATGTGATTCCAAACATCTCTGTTCGGTCCGACAGATCACTGTGACAGTGTGGTTGCAAGTACTGGCTTGCGCCCGGCATGAGAAATCTAGCATGTGGCAGTAACTTTCAAAATCTCACGATGGCAAGCCTCATTGCAAGTTCATAGTGTAACTATAGGGACAGCGATAAGAAGTAGCACAGACATTTCTAAAGAATCTCCTTTGGGCCTCGTCTTCCCTTCTTACGGCTCCAACCGTGCCCCTCGGGGCATCTCATCTGCGGCGTCGACAGCCTTGCGCCACCATGTCCTCGTCCCAGACGAGACACAGTTCTGCCACTTTCGCCCATGTGCTTTCAGGTTCATGCTTCTGGTCGCCGCTTTGCTGGCGTCCTCGACCCTGACTGCGCCCCCCGTCAGCTTATGTGACGAGCTCCTGGCTCAGCCACTCCTGCCATATGAATTCCTATCTTGAGTGTAGTCGTGGCAGTTACAGCTGCTACCGTCGTTTACGGGTACTGGACAGGAATGCGCAATAACGAATTGCAGCAGCGCAAACAGTAACAGGACAGACACTCGCTGCCCGACTCCGGACATGGACTTCACGACCCACAGTAGAAACCCTCTGTTTCTGTAATACCTCAATTGAATCTGACATGCTACTGCGGATCTGGATGCGGAACATGACGAGAAGCAACATCGATGACAAATGAAGCCTACAGTTCTGAACACTGAAGCTGCACCTTTCACAATACCTCAGTCGACCTTGGCATACTGGCGTATATTGCCAGAGACCGCAGATCAGTTCTCCGAGTGCAGCATGCCTCAGGACAGGTGGATCGGGCAACGCCATCCCGTGCAGCACGAGACCGGTGCGTATCACAATGTTGCACTCAATTACGGCGGAATGGTGTCCAGACATCTCGACAAGACCGACAGGGAAGCACAATCATAAACGGACATCACAAAGAACTACCCGAGAGCGTAAGCAGAAGCTGTTCAGCCTCGGCCGAACGAGGGGTGATATGACAATCAAAAGGGCCTGCGTGACTATACATAGTTTACTGAGACGAGCTCCTTTGTGACGAGCGACATACCCACCTGATTACGCCAGTGTATTCCACTTCTGGCTCAATTGTCTTGCCATCGGGATTGGAGGCTTTGGAAATGTTGAAGGTGGAAAGAACCATTGCCGCAAAAATGAACAGCGAGTCTTCTGCAAATAATTGCCCTGGACACACACTGACACACAGGTGAGATGCAGCGACAGCTGCGCTAGCATCCAACATCATACAACACTTACCGTCGTCCATAACCAAACTCGAACGGACGAGGATCAGGGTTAAGATGCTCGTTAGTTTTGGAGAGGTACCGTTCAGGTATGACATCGAAGGGACTCGGATACCGAGCGGGATCATGGAGAATCGCCCTTTGTAGAAAATCAGCGGAAGAATATCAGACAATACACAGCGAGGTACCAGCTGTTGGCTAGGATGGTAGCTCCAGCTGGTATGCGATATCCGCGGTAGATGTCGTTCTCAGTAACTCTATGCGGAAGGGCTAGACTTTAAATCAGTCCTTAAAATCGGTCCTTCTAGGTGCAGAACTTACCCAGGGGTGCCACAGGATTCCATCGATGGATTTCTTTCAGCAGAGCATCCAAATACGGCAGCTTCGAGCGATCGCTGAAGTTGGGCAGTCGTCCTGGTTCCACCAAAGAGTCGATCTCCTCCTGCGCTTTCTTCTGTACTTCAGGGTATAAGGACATTGCGAGGAAGAATGACTCCATTGCGGACACAGTCTGTCCAAATTTTGTAAGCAACGAATGCGGCCATCGAAAAAGACACGAACCGTATCTGCACCAGCTGAACACCCAATCAGACGCTCAGTCTTAACCAATGAAAATGACCCACTGACCGACATAGAACGAGGCAGATGCACACTTCTGTATATACTGATCTTCTGGAGTAATGCCCTCTTTCGATCGAATCAAGTCTGCCGTGAAAGATGGCGATGCAGTCCCCTCGATCTGCCGGAATTAAGGAAATTCGCGAGACCCAGAGACAAATAGAGAAGAACATACCACTTGCTGCTCCACCATTTCGTATGGTTCGTTTCTCAGCTTGTCTGATGATTTGCGCCACTCTTTTGCCTTCCTTTTGAATCCCGCCCCAGGGAACCAGTCCGGAACATATTGGACTGCTCGCTTGAGTTTGTCATTGAACATGAAAAGAAACACACATACGAATTGGGAAAGCATCGACAAGGAATGCACCAGGTGTGGCTGCTCGGGAAAAGTCGTCGTTAGTTTGCTCGGCCAACTGGGTCATGGGGTCGTCTAAATTCGCTACTCCATATCCATGGGTGATCTGGAAGACAGTACTCGCAACAAGGCTTTGGCTCCATGAGTTCAATTTATCGGATAAGAATAAGAGTGTCCATACCATCGAATATGAGATCTAAAGCGCTTAGAATCTGCCAAAATCTTCGGGAGGTATTCAAGCGTCTTGGCCGCTTGTACCATATTATATTCGGGCTCATTTCGTGGACTCAATCCACTGACCAAGAGTTTGCGACAGTCGCGATGATGTGCACCGTATGGGGATAGTGGGATGAGTTGATTGTACCCCATCCTGAACACACGAACGGTAATGAATGATAATTGTTCGATGCTAATTGCCTGCGGAGCCGCTTACATTTCACCTAGCATGGGCATAACAGGACGATCGGAATATATGGCACTCCGTTTCTCCAGCAAATCAGAAACGGCCTCAGGTGAAGAAAGGACAACGAAGTCCCGACCCATTACTGACAAATGCATGACATCGCCTGCACAGTTTCACTTAAAGTTAAACGTAGAGACAGAACCTGCAACAGACTCACCATATACCTGCGCCCATTGTGTGAAGGCCTTCCATGATTGATCAGCAGGCATTTGTAATGCATTTCCTATGTACGGCAGTCCTGGTGGACCCGGAGGTAAAGGAAGCTGAGAACGATGTCGAAGAATGCGATAGAGAGCAACAGCGGCTAGACACAAAACCAGCAACGCGCCATAACCAGTCATTGTGTGCGATATTCTGAATGGATAGCCAACAACACTTGAGGGACGAGAACCTGGCGAGCTCAGAACGAGCTACAAACCCGATTTATGGAGAATTGGGCTCCTGTGATCTTCTGTAGTGATGACGGAAGCAGAACGATACGCGACGTCTGTGGTGGCATCTCCCTGGGAACAGGCTGTAAATGAGCCGATTCACATGGCACGGCAAAGTCGGCCGCAGACACTCACCTAGTACGCTAGATTTGGACAAACATTCCACACAGAACTGGAGATTCGAAGAGTCTGATCGACTCGGCTCTTGTCGCACTTAGTTCGGGGTGTACGGTACAAAGTGGTAAGTGGTTCGAGGTGATTCGAAGTGGTAAGTGGTTCGGAATTAGTATTATGCATCCGCAGGGACGAGACCTCCATAGGAAGTTATCAATCTTGGCAAAACATGATCGGAGAGGGCATTTAGCACCGGCACCAGACACATTCCAACATTGTCCCCGCAACGTGCAATATGACAGGTCACGACAGGGAAAGCTTTAGTCGCCGATGCTGAATTGTAACATCCTACACTCAGCTTCAATACACTTGACTTGAGTGTCCGGGTAAGTTGATGCCAGTAATGCAGCATCTTCGAACGATCTCGCCGTAGTGAGTTCCAGTAATTCCATGTAGACCTTTTATACCGTTGGTCTGTCTAAATCAACACCTTTGATATTCCATATTGAATCACTCGAGAATGAGATATGATAACCCAATTCGGTTGGTTTGTCATTGAGAGATCTGGGCTTTCTGCCAGTTGCGTCGTACGAAGGCGGTCTGGGTGGCTGCAAAGCGGAGAAGTCGTGCATCACATGTCTCTAATCCGGAGATCAATTAAGCCGATGATGTCCATGCACCAACCAACGTCAGAGGGCCGATATACCGCCGAACGTAGCGCATCCTCACTGCTCCGCTCATCTTCACGATGAAAAAATGTGTGCGGAGAAGAGTGCCGTCGATCCAATCCTAGTACGGAGAGCGAAAGTGTATGTCATGGAAAGGCCTACTTCAATACCCAGGTCAGTCAATATATGTGTGTGCAAAAGTTGCAACGAGGTAGAGTGGTCGCACTTCTAACGAGAGTTTCTGACACCTCCCATGCACTCGTGTAGTCATCGTACGCCCGAACCGCTCTTGAACCTGCCTGCGTTCTCGCGCTCGTCTAGCCACTCGAAATGTGGCTCACGCGTGCGGAATGCGAGGTTGAAGCTTGAAAGACGAGTGCATGGGCCGCAGTCGCGCAAATCTTGCATGTCCACTATCTCTCGCCGTTAAAATTCAGCGTGCTTTTGAAAATAATGCGCAAAGTCGCTGATGGGACGTTCCAATGTGAGGGAATCTCATGGAGGACATCTTACTTGCCGCATACACCAGCATCATCCGCTACCCATACGCTCCGTATGCCTCACATACCCATATCCTCTGCTACATGCCAATGGGCTCCCTCTCGTGCGTCATTGATATCTACGGCTTCGCTCGTCCTGTTCCAGTACGAGACGATAGGTGGAGGAAAACGGGTGTACGTTGTACTGAATATCGCCAACAAAGGTGTAGGAGAGAATGGCTCGCCTGTCGGTGGACATAGTTCATTTTGTCCGAGGGACCCATAACCGGTTCGGTGCTTCAGTACCGACACAAATATCGCAATAACGACGCTGCGGAAGCACAGAGGGTGGCGCCTCAATAGACGCATATGGATTGCTGTCAGAATGGCTCTGCGCAGAGATATGTACGGAAGAAGCAAACATGCCGGCATTCATCTCTAATGCTGACTTTGAGCTTGCAGACATAAGCGGTCGAACCCCAGATTACGTCGAGCCCGCGGGCGGTGACAGTCAGCCGCTGCATTCACTTCCTGCCCCTTGATTTGACCTTTTGTAGTTTATTGAGGCCTATTAGTGGTTAGTTCAATGCGTGTAATGCAGTTCCAGGGATAGCGTCTCGTACTGTATATTCCACTTCATCGGCAACAGTCGAGCGCTGCATTGCCAAACAGTATCTGAGGGCTCGATTTTTGCTGATGTTTCTTCGTCGGGCGTGCTCTCGCCTGGCTCTCCATCGACATCCATATTGTCCTCTTTCTCCAATCTTCGTTCCCTTTCCACTCGTTCACGCTCACGCTCCTGGACAAGGACCACCTTCAGGTTCTTTGTCCGGCGGTTGGCGTTCTTCATCAAGTTTGGATTCTTGAAAGGACGAAGAAGATGCCTATATGAAAACTGCTCCGCGACAGACGGATTCATATGACTGAGTTGCGGTAATGCAGCAGTATCTCAAGGGAAACTCACAACGACTGGAGGAGTGGGCGAATCATCGCTAGTGACGACGATGGCTTTTCGCTTCGTAGCACCTTTTGGAGGCCTGTATGCACATATCAGTAGTATACGGAGCACAAACACAAATCCCCTCGCCGCTCCTTGCACCTTAACCACCACCATCTCAGTTAGACGCCCACCGCCATGTCGCATTCCCATTCCCGTTCCTACCCTACTGGTGCACCCAATGCCGAAGACAGTACGCCTCAACGCACTGTGGGT